ATTTTTTTTTGGGTTTTGAGTATTGCTGTTTCTATTGTTTTGGGTTTTGTCAGTGAGCGTTCCTCCCTGTTTTTTTATTGTTTGTTCTGCTTCATATCATCAATTTCCTACCGATTCAAATATATATATATATATATATATATATGGAGGCTGTTATTTCCATTGTTCTATCCATTCCTAGCTCTGTTGTTGGCAAAGCGGCGGAGTACACAGTTGATTCCACTGCACGACAAGTTAGTTAGTTGTTCAAGTAAACGAGCAAGTTTCAAAACCTCAGGGATCAACGTCAAAAACTGGAGGATTCATGAAAAAGAGTGCGAGAGGCTGTTAATGCCATGGAACTTGATTTGTTCCCAAAAACATAAGTGTCCTCAAACACCCACAGTAGAGTCACGTATTAGAGTAACATATTCCATATGGAATCTTCTCAGTCATGCGTTTCTAACAATCAAAATTAAGAACCATATACTGACAATTCCTATTTGTCAACACCAAAGCAAAGCAATATAATACAATTTTAAATATAATATTATGATATGATACCAAAAAAAAAAAAATTAATAGTTTAAAATTTTTAATAAAAATAAAAAAATATTTTATATTTAATGTGGTAATCGAATTATGACATGATAATACTTATAGTTTTCACCTTTTAAGACATGAATAAATAGACATGGATACGAGAATTTAAAGTCTAATAAATAGTCAAAACATTTAGACGAAAAAACATGACTGAACGCGATTCTGCAGTATGCAAGTATTATCTTACAAGTTGATTTTAAAGAGATAGATATATATATATATATATATCTATATATATTTATAAATGATTATGGGCATTGAAAGCTGTAAATCCCAGTTTTTAAAGGGAGAATTTCACTTATAATTTTTTCATTATAATATTATAATTAATCAATCATACTTAAAAATTATATAAAAATTTATCGTTTAAAAAATATGAGTTTTACATAAATATAAATTATAATTAATTAATTGTAATTAAATAATTGTAACTGAAATGTTTCCAATTTAAAAAGAACATAAGAACTCTCTAGCTGAATTTCAGTTGAAATTCACCATTTGAATTCTTCTAAGCGTCATACACATAGAGGACTTGCCAACATATTGCAAATAAGATTTCCCACTTTTCAATGTACTTTGTTTATTTAAATATCAAACAATGAACGCAATTTCTGGAGTTTGGAACATCGGTGGATAATCGGTTTTGGGTTTAATTGACAAATTTTTCAATCAAGAAATGAATTGGGTATCCAAAAAAACTGAGAAAAGTTGTAAGAAAAAAAGAATTACCTGTCCAACGTGAAAAGAAATCATGGGCAAGTACAAGCAAATTAAAAAAAAAAAGCTTATATGCAGAATTCGGTGCTTTGTTGTTTTACGAAAAATTATTTTTAAAAGTTAATTTTACATTTTTAGTTATTTGTTTCACAAAAATTAAGTGGTTAATGAAAAATAACTATTAGTTAATAAAAAATAAAAAATAAGATTTTTTTAAAAAAAAATTTTCTAAGTAAAATTATTTATCAACATAATTTTACTTATAAATAATATATTAATTAATTAATATTATAACAATGTTAATAAATAATATTATAATATATTAATAAATAATAGAAAAATAATAAATAGTTTTGTTTTAAGTATTTTTATATTAACATAATATTTTAATATTAAAAATTATTATCAAAATATAATTGTTTTGAGTATTAATAATTTTAATATACTTTAATAAGAAATAATTTTTAATATCTTAATAAATATATTAATATTATTTGTAAAAAAATATTTTAAAAAAACTAAATAATGAAAAATATTTTCATTAATTCCTCTAAATAACAAAAAATCTCTTTATATTCCAAAAATATAAATATTTTTTAAAAGTTATTTTTCGTGAAACAGACAAAGCTAAAACGTTTCATTTTTCGTGAAACGTTTAGGGAATAATACTCCTTTTCCAGACCAAAAAAAATGTTTAGGGAATAATAGAAATAAAGATTTATAAATAATAACTTCATTTTTTTTTAAATCATAAAATTACTTGCTCTAATTTCAATCTGAATTTTTAAAATCAATTTATTTACTACTTTATCTACTCTTGAACAATTTCTTACACTTCAAATTCTATAATTAGATTAAAAAGAGTTTAAAAGACACCTCTTTTCTGATGTAATAGGGATTAACACTGATTGTTAATGTCCACAAATGTTGTACAATACATATCATAGTCCTAACATGAAGAGAGACCATATTATTACCCCAATGGAAAAGTGCAACGTCAACTCTGATGATGCAGATATAAGAATTCATAATCACTGCAAGTTTGCAACTAAAAGTTGAGGATTTGCATTAGTTCACTTTCCAAAAGAGTACATCGTTTTGGCAAAAACAAAATGGTTAACGGTTAAGGCCATGCATGATTTCCAACACAGGAGACAAAATTAATTTCGTCAGGTTTTTTCTAAATTCTTTCCATTTTCTCCCTTGGAGAATACTCACAAAAGCTCCTGGTGACAATGAGGTGAGGGATTTAATGATGCAACACAATATAGTATATCACTCTATACAAATAAGAACACTGGGAATAGTCAAGGGATCAAGCTCCCAATAGCCTCTCCAGCAGCAATCCTTTTCTCTTGTGTGCTGTAAAGCTCGAATCTGATGAGAAAATGTAGCAAACTCAATCTCCGGCACTTTGACTTCTTGAAGCCCTATAATGTGATTTAGATCCATTTACACATGACAGAGCCATAACTTTTTTGCTCTTGGCATTATCTTCCAACACTTCTACAATGTCACATTCACCCGTACCCAAGTCTGAATCTGCGGAGTTCTAACTCTGGTATATTGCCCAAACCTCCCCCTTTTTAGGGTAAATTTTGCATTTGTTCTTCCCAATGGGCTCAGCTCTTAATTGATGAGAGACAACGTTAACCTTGGTTTGGCCACTTTTAACTTTAAATATCCTACAACAAAGGGTAGTTTCAAGTCTTTAGGCCTTGAGCACATTTCCAGCAGTGCCACACGCAATTTGAAATGAGGGGTGGATTCAATCTTTTTGAATTAAGCAGAGTCCTTAGGCATGCCATCCCTACCATATAATGCCCAGATCTGATCAACCTCAAACTTGTCCTCAGTCTTTTCCCTCTTAAAATCCTAGCTCTCTGATTTTTATTTTTTGTGAGCCAAAGACAGGTGCAGAGACACTAGAGCTTTTAGTGACATCAATTGTACTACGATTCCTCTCATGTAAATGCATGTTACCAACATGCGAGCTCAAGGAAGGACTTCCTAGAGTATTGCCAAACCTACCATGATTTTGATGTTTGTTGGAAACTAAACGCTTCTTGCTATTTTCCTAGATGTTATGTTGACTTGCATTTACTTGACTGCCTTTTCTGCCCAAATCTCTTGGTGACCTTTGAGGTTTTAAGCAATTTGTTGTGAAATCATTACTTTCACATTGAATATTTTTATAATAAAAAAATATTTTTTTCATCCATTTAAAGAATTTACAAATACTCATATTCATAAATTTTTTATAAATTTATGACTTTATAAATCTGTAGGATTTAAAAATGATGCAAGGAAGAAGTGAAAAGTAATTTGCTAAAAGAGTTAATAAATATTGGATATTTTTATAATAAAAACATTAAATGCATCAAGAAATTTTGAATGTAAACGAAACTTCCAACTTTAATTCTAACAGAAATTTGATGTGATTGTAAAACTTTTGGACAATGATAAATATATTTATATATAAAATGAACATACGTCATAAAAAAATTAATTTAAAATCAAGATTTTTTATGTCCTGCTGAAATTTTTTCAATTATTAAACCAAGGAAATTGAGAACCGTATATTTATCATACGGATGGCGTGATGTTAAATTAGTGCTTAACAACATAGACTTTGGTATAGTTTACTCAATAATAATACTTTCCCGACAGAAAGCATGTGTCACAGCCCACATGTGCACGATCATGACCTAGGGATCGCACAATGTAGACGACCTAGCTGTGCTTTAATTGTTGTTTAGTTTGTCATCATGTCCCATTTCTTTACTAGTCTCCGCCTTTTATGCTCTTTTGCAGAAAACACGCAATTCTCAGTTTTCATTCTCCGTTCTCTCAACTCTTTCTACTGCTGAATCCTCATGCTTTATTCACCAAAAAAAGAAAAAATAATTCCTCAAAATTTTCCTGTAGGTTTTCGGCTCTTTTGATATTAGTACTCAAAGTACGGATAGGAAGAAGCTGCAGCCGATCTATATTTTGATATCTAAGACAAGGACACAGGTATGTTTGTTTAAACCCATTCCACTGCTTTCATCTCTGATTATTTGATTTATATATGTATATATATAAATATATATATATATATATATTTGGGTTTTAAATATTGCTGTTTTTGTTGTTTTGGGTTTTGTCAGTGAGCCTTCTGCCCTTTTATTGTTTGTTTTGCTTCGTATCATCAATTTCTTACCATTCAAAAAAAAGAAAAGGAAAAAGGAAATCACATAATTTATTTTAAATTTCATGATTAAAATTTAATAATATAATTACAACATATATGTAACATATATATACACAAATCAATAGCTTGTTTTGTAAATTTTATTTTAAATCACATGATAATTGATAATACATAATATAAGAGATTATATAATTTTTTTAAATGAAATATTAATATGTAAATATATCATAATAATTAAAAATATATAGTTTATTTTAAATCATATTATAAATTATAAGAAGTTTTCAAGTAAACATAACATATATAATTTATACTTAGTTTGATATTAAAAATATATATTAATTTGATATTTTTAATAACTTTAATGAGTTATCATTTATGTTATTATTATTATTTTATTAAATTAATATTCTTAATTAAAATGATCTTTTTCTCAATTATTTGGGGTTAATTTTTTGGATCGATTCAATTTCGAATTATTTCAATTTTGATTAATTTTAGATTCATGTTAATTTAGATTTGAGTTAATTTGAGTTCAAATTATTTTTAGTTTCGAGCTAAATCAAGAGTTGGTTGGGTGAGTTTTTTTGGTTTGGATTAAAAAAATTTAAATTAATTTTATTTAAAGAAGTTAAATTTAATTAGGTAATTTTAAAAAAAATTGGGTTTATTTACAATAAAATAAAAAATTATAAAGGTATATATTCATTTTGTATGGGAAGTTAAGTATTTTTTTTTAATATCAAGTCAAAAAATTTGATCTAGTGATCAAAGAAATCTTAAAAGACACAAAGTTTGGAGTTTGACTTCATCTTCTTTTCCTCTCCCTTGTTGTTTGATTTTAAGGGGAGAGAGCTTTACAATAATAAAGAAGAAAGAAAGCATAGAGTCAAACCTCAATTTCGTATTTTTTTAAAGATTTTTTTATCACTAAATTAAGAAGCTGAAATTGGTTTAGTTATATTACTTGTCATCCTATTAAAAAAAAGGGTATTTTTGGTATAACATAAGTTGCATGTGCATGTGAGACGTGGGATCCATTTATCATCGGTAAGTGTTAAAACTTTGGAGATGATGTAAATTTATCATACAAATAGAATGATTGTATTAGTGCTAAATGTCAAGGACTTTAGTGTAATTTACTAAAACATTCTAATCCGACAAAAACCATGTCCCACAGGCTGCACAAGCACAATTGGAGACCCAGGGGCAGGCACTGGAGGCCAGCTGGTTGTGCTTTTCATGCTTTTTTCACAATTATTGGTTTTGATTTAAGTTGAAGGTGAAACATCTTTTTCATTATTTAAAAATCCATGAAAGATAGTTTTTTATATTAAATAATAATTAAATTTTATTTAAAACATTTTAAAAAAAGAAAAATAAAAAGAAAAGTAAAGGTGTTTTAGGAAATAAAAATTGGATTCAAGGAGTATTTTTGAATGTAAATAAAAGTTTTTAACTTCGATTATAATAAAAATTTGATGTTATTTGTAATGATGTATTTATCATGTCTTGGCTAAAACTATTGAAGATGATAGTATTTCATTTTTGGTATATAAGACGAGCATAATTTATGAAAATGAAGAAAATCAAATCAAGATTTTATGTTTTCCTAATAGCTTTTTCATCATTAGGTAAAAAAAAATGACAACTGTATATTAGTGCTTAACAACAAGGATTTTGGCGTAATAAAAAATAATACTTTACCGACAGAAATCATGTGCCACAGCCCAGAGGCGCACAATCAGGACCCCGGGACCGCAGAATGGAGACCAGCTGGCTGTGCTTTAGTCGTCCTTTAGGTTGTCAACATGTTCCCATTTGTTTACTACTCTTGGCTGTTCATACTCTTTTACAGAAAACACGCAATTCTGAGTTTTGATTCTCTGTTCTCTCAAACTGCCATCTCCTAAACTCTTTCAACTGCTGAATCCTCAAGCTTTATTCACCAAAAAAAGAAAAAAGAATTCCTTAAAATTTTTCTGTAGGTTCTCTGTTCTTTTGGCTTCACTACTCAAAGTGAGGATAGGAAGAAGCTGTAGCCGACCAATCTTTTGATATCTAAGAGAACGACAGAGGTATGTTTGTTTAAACCCATTTCCACTGTTTTCATCTCTGATTATTTGATTTATATTATTTTTTTATTTTGGGTTTTGAATATTACTGTTCATATTGTTTTAGGTTTTGTCAGGGAGCGTTCTTCCGATTAAAAAAAATATATGGAGGCTTGTATTTACATTGTTAGATCCATTCTTGGCTCTCTTGCTGGGAAAGCGGTGGAATGCACAGTTGATCCCATTGCACGACAAGTTAGTTACTTGTTCAAGCATAAGAGCAAGTTTCAAAACCTCAGGGATCAACTTAAAAAACTGAAGATTGCAAGAGAAAGTGTGCAAGAGGATGTTAATGCGGCTACGAGACAGGGAAAGGAGATATTTAGCTATGTGGGGTGAGTGGTTGACTAAGGTCAATGGGATCTGTGATGAGGCTGCTGAGCAATTGGATGACGATGAAGAGAAAGCAAAGCAGATGTGTTTCGTTGGGTTGTGTCCTAATTTTAAGTCTCGTTACCAACTCAGTAGAAAAGCTGAGAAAGAGGCCAACACCATTGCTGAACTCTTAAAAGATAAAGACGAATTTAATAATAGAGTATCCCGCCAACCTGCTGTTGGAGGGACAGCCACTAGACCTGACAAAGACTACGAGGCCTTTGAGTCAAGAAAGGGTGCTTTCGATAGGGTCATGGAGGCGCTTGAAGATGCTAATTTGAGCATAATTGGTGTTTACGGGATGGGAGGTTTGGGTAAAACTGCCCTAGTCAAACAAGTTGCTATACAAGCCAAGGATTTGTTTGATGAGGTGGTCATGGCAGCTGTAACCCACAATTTTGACATATAAAGAATATTCAAGATCTTATTGCTGATGAATTGGGTCTAATTTTTGAAAAGCCGAGTGTACCCGGAAGAGCAGGCGAACTACGTAACAGACTAAAGGGGAGCAATAAGATTCTTGTTATTTTGGATGATATTTGGGAGAAATTGGATATGGAGGCTCTGGGAGTTCCTTACGGAGGTGAACACCAAGGATGCAAGATCTTACTGACGTCTAGAAAGGTTGATGCTTTATCTTTGATGGGTTCGCTGAAAACATTCCAATTGAAATATTGAAAGAAGAAGAAGCATGGAACCTGTTTAAGAAGAAGGCAGGTGATATTGTTCTAAGCCCTGACTTGGAAACTACGGCAATTGAAGTGGCCAATGAATGTGCTGGATTGCCGATTGCCATTGTAACAGTTGGGGAAGCTATGAAAAATAAGAAGAATTTGTCTGATTGGAAGTATGCTTTGAATGAACTAAGAAATCCCTCTAAAAGAAACTTCAAGGGATACCAGCAGGTGCATATTCAGCTATAGAGTTGAGTTACAAGTTTTTAGAAGATGAGGAACATCGACCTACTTTCCTACTCTGTAGCATAATGGGCCATGATGCTGCCATCGAGCTTGTTGAGATATGGCATGGGTTTGGGTTTATTTCATGGAGTTAACACAATCAAAGAAGCACGATATAAAGTATCCGCATTGGTTAACAACCTGAAAAGCTCTTCTTTGTTACTGATGGTTCTACCTTTGAGCGCTTTTGTATGCATGACGTTGTTTGTGATGTTGCCTTATCGATCGCTTCGAGAGACCACCATGGCTTGCTCTAGGAAGGATGATGATGATGTATTCAAAGAGTTGTCAAATGAGGAAAAAATGAAGAAATTGCGAACTGATCAGCTTGCAGTATGCTAAGGTTGTGAGCCTTCTGATCATGGATCGGTTGGAATGTCCAAATCTTACCTTTGCTCTTTGGGTAGTGAGGATTCCTCTTTGAAAATTTCAGACAAACTTCTTTAGGGGAATGCAAAAACTCAGGGTCCTTAGATTTGCCAACTTTATTTTCCATCCTTGCCTTCGTCATGTTTGTTCCTAAAAAATCTTCGTACTTTATGTTTTTTCTAACTGCATTTAAAAGTATAGTCATCATTGAAGAGTTAAAGAATTTAGAAATCCTTAGCTTCCGAAAATCTAAAATTGCAGTGCTACCACCCCAAATAGGACAATTGATCAAGCTAAAATTGCTAGATTTGAGTCATTGTTCCAGTCTTAAAGTAATATCATCAAATGTCTTGTCTCGTTTATCCAGATTAGAAGAATTATACCTTTATAATAGCTTTGATAGATGGGAGGTTGAGGGACATGAGAAGCCAAGAACCAATGCTAGCCTTGTTGAGTTGCAACATTTGTCTCGTTTGACAACTTTGGAAGTACATATTCCTGATCTGCAAGCTGTGCCAAAGAAATTGTTTTCTGAAAAGTTTGAAAGATACAAAATTTCCATTGGAGAGAAGTGGTGGCGGAATTATAAGCCAAAAACCTCGAGAGAGTTGAAACTCAAGTTGAATAAGAGTATTCATTTGGACGATAGTGGGGTTAAAACGTTGTTGAGAAAAACCGAAACTCTCCATCTGGATGCAGCAAAAGATGTCATAGACATGCTTTATGATCCAGATACCCAAGGTTTCCCACATTTAAAACATCTTGATGTCCGCAATGATTCAGAGGTTAAATATCTCATTAACTCCATGGAGTTGACTTCATGTAAAGCATTTCCTCTTTTGGAGACATTGTTTCTTCGTGAACTGAACAATTTGGAGGCCATATATTATGGTCAACTCCAAGCTGAATGTTTCGGTCAACTAAGAAAGATAGGAGTAAGAGATTGTAATATGTTGAAGAATTTGTTCTCATTCGCCTTAGCCAGAAAGCTCGGCCACCTTCAAGAAATTCGTGTATCTCTTTGCTCGAATTTCACAGAGTTAATTGTAGAAAAGAGGGAGGAAGAGATTGGTGATGATGACATTTTAGAATTCAGCCAATTACGCTATTTAAGGTTAGGAAATCTACCAAGTTTCATTGGCTTGTTTAACTCAGAAAAAAGGCTTTCCTCGTCTCAACAAGGAAGAGTTCAATCAATTGATGGAAGTTCAACTGCCACATCGCTTTTTGACCGAAAGGTATTTATGTCAATATATTTCTTCTTTTCGTTAAATTCTCACTTCCAACATATTTCCTTTTGATCTCGTTTTTGTTCCTTTTTCTTAAACTAGATTTTCTATTTAATATGTGAATGATATAATTAGGATAAAGAGCAAATTTATTATTGTAGGTGAGTGTTCAATTTTGTCATTATACTTTGGTTTTATTGAATTTTATTGCTGTACTTTCAATTTTAGTGATTTTTGAATCAAAATTAATGAAAATAAAATATATCATAAAATATTTTATTAATATATTTAAAATAAGTATTCAATAAAACATAAAATAAGTCTTTTAAACTCAAAGCTTATCCACAAGGATTAAATTATTTTATTAATAAATATTATATTTTTGTTACATTTTAATTTTGAATATGTTTGCAATATTAAAATATTAATAATAAAATTTTGTTATTTTAATAAAATAATAATTAAATGAGTCAGTTGAGTCAGCCTTGGAAGGGAGACTTGATAGGCCAATCCAAATACGCCTTTGAAACTGAAAAACTCCAATTCACTTTCATGACATGGGCGTGATATAATGAATTTAAGAATTGATATTATATATATAGATGGTCAATTGCACTCTATTTTTTGGGTTAGGAGTCAATAACTCATACTCAACATTTAATGACTTCATTGACTTTATATAGTTGCAAATCCAAGTAAATATTTAATTTTTGTTTAATATTACTTTGAAAATTATTGTCCAATGGAATTATATATTATTTCTTTGTCTCCATATTCAATATTGGAAATCGTTATTAATTTTTTTTAAGTTTGAATAATAAGAAATTGTTGATTATCAATATTTTTTTATTTGCAGGTCATTTCCATGCTTAAAAGAAGTTGTGGTTATCTTGTATCACAGTTGAAATTGAAAATTATGGCTATGATCAGCTTCCGGGTAACATCTTTTAGTGTTGGAAATTTAACTGTGTTGACTGTTCAAGCGGCTGTTCATAAATTTGAAGAATCTATTTACTTCTTCTATGGTTGAAAAGCCTTCGTGCAACTGAAATCCCTTTTTGTTGCGATTGTAATGAAATTGAAGAGGTAATAACAGTGACAGAAGGATTACCAGAAGAAGAAAGGATGAGGAAAATGGTATTTCCTAAACTAGACGATTTGCAGCTCTTGAATCTTCCTAATCTCAAAAGATTTTGTTGTGGAAATCCAATTGAATTCCTCTCTTTAAAGGAACTATGGATTCTTGGATGTCCAGTTTTAAACACATTTCATTCTGATTCTACAAGTGTGGGTACAATTGTTGGAAATGAAGCAGGAAAGAGTAGCATCTCAATGGTGAAACCTTGCATTGATGTACCAAAATATCTATTCGATGAAAAGGTATTTTCTTAATGCTTTTCTCCATTTTTTGAACATAAAATTTTTATTTCATACATTGTTGGTAGAGTTTTTAAATTTTGTAAGTGTAGTTAAAATATTATTATATGTTTTTTATTATATTAATTTTTTAAAAATATATCCTATTGAGTTATTTAGCAATAATCTAAATTCGTTGGTGTGAAATTTAAATTTATTATCAGTAGTGTTTTAGATTGTAATTTTCCTATTAACTTAACCTGAAAACAAAGTGATGAAGTATATATGTTAATATATTGCAAGACTAGAATGTATCTCTTTTATGTTATTTTCTTCGAGTCTTATAATTCTCCTTTTCATATATAGATTTTTTTCTCACAAACATTATAACATTTTTAAGTCATCCAAAGAGATATTCTACCATTGTAGACTTAAAACTTTAAAATTGAAAGTCTTAATTATTTGAATTATAGAGGGGATCGTCGCAACTAAAGATGTAAAGGGTCAGGCTGCATATGATTTTTTAAGCTTCAGCTTGATTAGGGCTGATTAAATTATTTTATTAATAAATATTATATTTTTGTTAAATTTTATTTTTATATGTTTAAAATATTAATAATAATAGAAAATTTTATTATTTTAATAATAAAATATTAGTTAAATGAGTGAGTTTTTTGTCAATAAAATAAATGAGTGAGTGGTCGGCCTCTTATTAGCTTTAAAAACAGAACTTGATAGGTTTAATCGATGAACACCTCTAATAATAAAACTTTAAAACTTACTTTTACAAGTCATGACTTGAGTGATATAATGAAATTATTGATATTATATATTATTATAGATCTAAAATTGCACTTTTTTTTTGTTAGGAGTTAATAACTAATATATAAAATTTAATGACTGACTTTTTATTGCAACTTCAAGCCAATACTTGACTTTTTTCTAATTATTTCATGGAAGATTATAATCATTGTACGAAGTTAATTATTTCAACCAAAAGGCTTTCTACAATCCATTTTATAAATATTTTAGATTTTGGAGGAAGATGGGGGTCTATGTGCCACCCTAACATTTCTTTAAAATGTACTTTTTTATTTTTTATTTGGTTTTAATTTTATTAGATAAATTTTATAAGAAAAATAATAGATGTAAAAATTACGAAACAATTTGTATCTAATGGATTTCAATTCACTTCGATTCAATATAGATATGTTGTTTTAAAAATTTTGAGAGCAAATTGAGAATTTTTTTTTAAATCGAGATTTGTTCAAGGGTTATTTTAAAATGTTTTATCTTGTCTAAGATATATATAAAATTATATTTTTATTATTAATTTAATGTTATATTTATATATTTATTATATTAATAAAATTATTATTTAATATCTTAATTTAATAAATTTACAACACTTTTATTTGGCTTTTTTTCTTTTTTTGCCAATAACCTTTTTCAAAAAAATTTTTTAATAAAAAAATTTTATACAAAAAAAATACAATTGATGTAGAGATGACAAAACAAATTCAATGGATTTTGATTTCTCTCAATCCAATAGGTACATTATATTTTAAAACTGAAATTAGGTTGGAATTTTTTCTAAATTGGATGAGGGTAGGAAACAGGTTTGGGATGTTCCATCTCATCTTCGGTATATATTAAAACTATATATTTTTATTATTTAATTAATTTTATATTTATTAATTTATTTATATTAATAAAATTATTAGTTAATATTTTATTTTAATAAGCTATTATATTTATACATAATTAAGATATAATTTATGAACAGTATACTGAGTTAAAATTATTGAATTAATTTTGATTAATTTGGAATGGATGCGAGTTATGCATATATGTGATAGGTTAAGATCATATATCAATTAATGATAATGTCTAGTCGAAATTGAAGTAGAGTCGAATTATTTTATTATTATATTTATACATAATTAATATATAATTTATATTAAAAAATAAAATGTTTATGAATATTATACTAAGTTAAAATTATTGAATTATTATTTTTTAATTTGGATTGGATGCAAATTATGTATATATGTGATAGGTTGGGACTAGATATCAATTAATAATAACTCAATGTCTAATTGAAATCAAAGTGGAATTGAATTATTAAAAATTCGAGTTAAGAGTCAAAGTGTGTATAAACCCACCCTGACTCGACCTCTTTTCTATCATTAAATGATAGTGTCCATGCATTTTCATTAATTTGACTATTTTTTTTGCTTGGGCCATTTTTTTAGTTTTAACTTTTTTTTTTGTTTTTAATTGTCTATTTTAACATTTTTTTATCTATGCTTTGGAAGATAAATTAACAATAGAATTGTTTAGGTAGCAATCCTATTTAGAATTTTTTTTTTTACCCTTCCATTCCCTTTTTTTTTCATTTTTTTAAATAAAATAAATTTTGTAAGAAATTGGATCAATAGATGTTAAAATAATTCGTATTTAATAGGTTTTGATTAACCAATTCAATAGTGATGGTTTTTCTTTTTTGAACTTCGAAGTCAGGTTAGAGATAAATTTAAAGTGTTTTTCTTTGTCTCGTCTCATGGTATACATTAGAATATATATTTTATTATTTATTTAATTTAATTTATATATTATTATATTAATAAATTTATTATTTAATAAAATACTATATTTATATGTTGGGTTAGATTGGATATAAAAAATAATAATCTGAGATTAAGTTGGAGTTAGGATAAGCATAACATGGTCTTACTCGTCCATTGTCATCTTTAAGTGGAAGTGTCGACTTGGCAAATTCATTTGGGTCATTTTTCTTTTTCCTTTTTTTTTCCTTTTTGCTTGGCACTTTTCCTTTTTTAAGTTTTTAAATGATGTATTTTAATATTTTTAACTATATTTGAAAATATGAATTTGTATTTGATTTGTTAACAAATTCTATAAATAAAATAAAGATATTATCCCCAAATTAATTAATAAATTATTATAAATCATTGTTTTTATTAAGAAATTATAAAAAATTATATTCATTGATTTATTAAATTTATTTAACTATAAATAAAAAAAAATTTAGATCTACAAGAAAGTGTGGGTATGTTGCTAGTATAATTAAAGATGACGGAGTTGTAGAAATATATAGTCAATGGCAATAATATATTATTTCTTTATGTTATATCAATGCTGAAAATCATTATTAATTCTTTTTAATATTTGAATAATAAGGAATTGTTGATCGTCAAACTTTACTTTTATTTGCAGGCTGTGTTCCCAGGCTTAGAGCGGTTGTCTATAGGCTTCATGGAAGTTAAAAGGCTATGGCATGAGCAACGTTCAGTAACTTCTTTTGGTGTTCAAAATTTAACAAATTTGGAAGTGTGCGAATGCAATAATTTGAAGAATATATTTACTTCCTCTATGGTTGAAAGCTTTGTGCAACTAAAAACACTTAATGTTGGAGGATGTAATGAACTTGAAGAGATAATAATAGTGACGGAAGGATTAGTAGAAAAAGAAGAAAGGATGAAGAAAATGGTGTTTCCTAAATTAGACTGTTTGACGCTGGTGGATCTTCTTAAGCTCAAAAGATTTGGCTTTGGAAATCCGATTGAATTCCCTTCTCTAACATATCTGTATATAGAAGGATGTCCTATTTTGAATACAGTCCATTTTGATTCTACAAGTGTGGAAACAACTATTGAAAATGAAGCAGGAGAGAGCAGCATCTCAACGGAAAACCTCCACTCGGATATCTCAAAATACCTATTCAGTGAAAAGGTATTTTTTTAATGTCTCCCTCCATCGCTCCAATATAAACTTAAAATTTGTTTCAAATAATTAAACTCATTTACAAATTGATAGGTAAAACTATATGTTTAATAGAAATAGCATCTAATTATTAATTACATCATTGGAGTTTAAGAATTTATTTTTGATTTCAATAATCTAATAGAGGGTAAACTACTTATATTGCTAATTGCTAATGAGATTTTTAGCTCCTAAACCCTAAAAAGTGATATTAAATGCATCTTTTTTTTTTACTCTTCTTATGCTATTTTTTTTTCAAATCTTTTTTAAAATAAAATTACTTAATTACTCTTTTTCATAAGTTTTCTGATATTTATATCCAACAAGTTATACAATTTTTCAAACATTTATTTTCAAAAATTTATAAAAAAAATATAATTAAATAATTTTACTTAAGAACATTTTAAAAAATAGGGTATAAAATGAAAAATAAGGGTGTATTTAACACCCCTCAATCCTAAATCTTAAATAATCTTTGGATCAAAATTTTAAAAAATAGATTGACGTGTTTTGAAAAAAAATAAAATAAAAAAGCATTTAATGGCAACATAATAAATATTAAAAAGAAAAGTATGTAAACTATTAATATATTTGTAAGAATAAAATACAATAATTTGTTTATCAAGATAGAATATATAATTTTATAGTATAACTTTGGATTGATCTATAATTTAACTAGAGAGGTATCTTTAAACTTCAATAATCAGATTTTGTTTTTTATTTTCAAATGTATACTTTACTAGTTTTTCAGTAAAATTATATGCATTAAAAAATTCTTTGAATTCTAAATTTTTGTAAAAGTTAATGTGTATCAAAAGTTAGAAAACGATTGTACCTATTTTTTTTTTTAACAAAAAAAATACGTTAATAATAATAACAAACTCAAATCAGCTGGTACTATGTAAGTATACATGATTCAATAATAAAAATAAAAAGATCACTACTTATATTAAAGATATACTTTTTTAAATTTCTCTTTTTATTCCACCATATTACAATCGTTCATTTTGATCCCTTTCAACAACTCATCCTCCGTCCTGTTAACACTTGCATGAATTGTGCAGTTGGCATTCCCAAATCTACAACAACTTCACCTCGGATGGGATGATGGGATGAAAGAGAGATTGCATGGCCTACGACTTGCATCGGACTACTTTTGCAAACTAAAAGTTCTCGGACTTGTACGGTTTCCTCAACAATTAGCCATATTCCCATCTTACCTGTTCCAATTACTATCCTTACCCAATCTCGAAAGCCTTCAAATAAAAGATTGTTACTTTGAAGAGTCGTTATTCCAAAGTGAAGGAGTTGGTGGTGAGGAAGGATTCCAAAATCTAAGGATTTTACATGTGGAATGGTGTCCCAAATTAAAAAGTAATTTAGTTCCATCCTCAGTATGTTTCCAGAATCTGATGACTCTTGAAGTTCAATTTTGTGATGGGATCATAAAATTAGTTACACATTCAACAGCCAAAAGCCTAGTGCAGCTCAGAGAAATGAGGATAAGGGATTGTGAAAAGATAGAAGAAATAATAGAAGGTAGCGATGGGGATCGTGATGAAGTGAAGGATGAAATCATTTTCCCCAAACTCAACCTTTTGGAACTGAGTGGGCTGTCAAATCTAGAAAGCTTCTGCTCATCGGGGAATCATACCTTTGGGTTCCCATCCTTAGCAACAGTAATTGTACACGAATGCCCAAAGATGAAGATGTTCTCCAGGGAAGGGTTAAACGCTCCGATGTTGCACAAAGTACGACCATATGACTGGGCAGATGAAGGGAATTGGATTTGGGAAGGAAGCCTTAATAGCACCATACAAAAACTGTTCACGGAAAGGGTATGTTTTTTCAAATTTCTTTGATTATCATTGACAAAGAAAATTTGTGGTTGGGGGCGTTGATCACGACTCCATTGTAAATCAAAATTAATTCATTTTTTCCCCCTCATGACCAATTAATATTAATTGTTGTTGGTGATTATTATATATATGTAGAATCCCGCGGAGGAAATGCAGTATTCTATAGAAGATCAAGGGAATCCTTCAACTTCTAACACACAAGTAAGCCAAATTTCATTCTATAAATCTTCAGATACCATTCATAATAATATAGCTTTTGTTTCTTTCAACTCAAATGCTTTACTTTTCCTCATCAATTAAGTAGGAGTTTGATGCCTCCTTCCTAGTTTATATTTCTCTTATCATTATAATATTATGTAATTTTTAAACAGTTTTTCCTTTTTATTTTCATCAGGATTTCTATTTAATTTACTCTTTTTAGGATATTCTAGAGCAACTGAAATAGATCATTGGATTTTCTTTTTAAAATACTTCTGCTTTTCAGTAATAATATTCTTTATGGTTAGAGAATGTTTAAATTTATAATAAAATAAAATAAGAAGAGGGATTATGGTGATGATCTTCAAATGGCAAGCGTGGCAAGGTAGGAAATTGTTGAAAATGTGTATTTGAGACATATGACTCTTGTTTCTTCATTCGAAATCAGAATGGCTTTGTTATCATTCATTATGACACTGATTCTTCAAAGAGTAACAAAAGTAATTTTCCAGTAATTTTCTTTTCACCTTCACTAATATTTGTTCATTATGATTTCATAATCCAGTCAACATAGTCGAGAATTCTGAAGAAGATCAGCTCAATCCTTCAACTGCCAAGAAACAGAGTAAGCCAAAAAGTCTTTCCATGCATCTTGAGACAGTATAGCTTATGTAGTACTCATCTAATGCAAATGATTTTTCTTTCCTTGAATAAGTTAAGTTCTTCATTTGAAGGTGTTTTCTTCATCTCAAGTGCAGAAGTGCAAGGGTTCTAATTCCTATTTCCTTCACGGCCAGCATTTATGTGCCATGGCAGAGTGAAGTAAACAATGTATGTATTTTGAGACATCATTATTGATACTTCATCGTTTGAAATCAAATGGTTATAAGATTTCTTTATTATAATACAAGGGTTCTTTAAAATGAAATAATGGTACTCTTTTTTTTCGTTTCTTTTTTTTGTCAATTATCATATTGCTAAAGGGCAGTGCTGCCAAGCTATTCTGTCTCTAAAGACAAGTTTAATCATGCTGCATTTGATCAACCTGTAAATGGTTGCAGCTTCTTTCTTTTAGTCTTTTATGTTTCTATGGTGACTAATTATAGCTTGCCATTTATTTGAACAACCTTGGAAGAAATAACATATGTACTACTTTTCTATTTTTAATGATCTGGGTGTTGAGAAGTTATGGATGACAACAGTTCTGAAGTCAGAGGATAAGGAGAAATATTATGAAGTTCAGGATCACATACTTATTTTGAAATTTCAAGGATTTGCGACTCCCCCTTTTTGGGAAGGTACAAACTATTTCACGTTGAAACTTGAAAGAAAGCTCAATTCATATTTATTCTGGAGGCTCAAATTGATGGTTTTTGTTTGGGCCGGCTGATGGTTTGTGTTTGTTTACAGGTGATTTTCTGCTGCTGCATTGAACCAATGGCAAATTCTTGAGTCCGTTGGGTGCCCCAAGGTGTGCTGTGCCTACAACATTTTGTGAATGGGCAATTTATCCATCCTGATATAACCTGTTCCATTCTACTCGACCCTTGTGCTGAGTTCCATGCTACCTTAGTGGCACTGTTCAGAGGCATGATTTGATGGCTCATGGTGAACATGGTTAGTCGTTTTCTTTGGCCTTGGGCAATTTTTGTGCTTATATATTAATTATCAATTGATTTTTCCACCCAGATCTGTGATTGACAATTTTTATCATCAATGTGAATTGTAAATAGAGCATTCAATGTCAAGGAGGCAGATGGTACAGGAAAATTGGGCAGAACGAATACCCCTCCTAGTTTTCTCATACGATGAGGGCTAATGCCAATTAATCCTACTGATTGAATGGAAGAATGGGAAAGAATCCAATCGCCATTGAAGGTTTACAAAGTATTTGCCTCATGTCAAGTGAAGAAGCTGGTCCTTTTCAAACTTTAGCAAAGGCTTACTAGTTTTATTTCATTAATTGAAAACATATACAAGTCAAAACACTTGCAGAAAGCCCAATGACTGACAACTCATTGGGATGGAGCAGTTATTTCTGATTTTCATTTAGGACATTTTCTATCAGCATTGACATAAACAGAACAACCTATAGCAAGTATCTTGGTCCTCTGAATACACTATAAGCCAAGAGTTTCCAGGTATAAGAAACAGAGGATCGTTGTTCAAGTACAATGGTTTTTATCTACAATAGGTATCAATTTTAAAGTTGGATTTTTTAGTTCTTTGCGTGAAAGAGTCTTGGCTTCAAATCTTATAAGAAGTGCCTTATATTCGTTTAAACACTGGTAAGTAGCTATGAGAATTTAAGTTAATTTCTTCTATTTGCAATGAAATGGGGAAAAGTAAAACCATTGTTGATTAACTTAAAATAAACATTATTTGATGATTATATTAGAAAATTTTTACAAAATCATCAAGGTAAAGCTAATAGATCAAATAAATTAATTAATAACTTAATTGAGAGATAAGATCCAAAATTTAACTCTTATCTTTAATTCTCTTTTATATTATTGTTTGTATTGAAATTCTAATTAAATTAAACAGCAAATTAAAAATTGAAATAACTTCTAATTTTTATTGTTAGCATAATCTACCACTTTAATCCACAAGCATTAATATAATTAGTAAGGAGAAAAGGTTTTTTTTTTTCTTTGTTAATTAGAATTTGAACCCTATAAAAAAGAAACCTTTAAGAGTAAAACTCTGAATGTATCCATTCAATTTTTTTTTTTTTTTGTAAATCAGAATTTGATATTTATGAAAAATATTTTAAAAGTAAAACACTGAATACAACTTATTGTATTAGAGAAAATCTCTTGAGAGAAGAAATTAGCATTAAATAAAGCTCGATAATATATCTAATAGTAAATCTTGAAAATATTTTGAGATCATATTATTAAAAAACACTTTAAATTATTGATATTGAATTTTAAGTAGCCATAATGACAAACTAACAAATAAGTCAAATATGAAGACAATTACTTTTTATTCCTAAGTAGTAGACACAATATTAGATAATAATACCATGTTTTATCTTTTTTTTTCAAAAACTACATAATACTAAGAGAAGTTAATGTTTTGGCACATCATCTAAAATTTTCGAAGTAACCAAAATCCAAGTACTTGGAAAATCATCTTGCATTGTGTAATTAGTTAGAATTGGTGGTCAACTAAGTTTAAATTTTTGTAAGTAAGATATTAATTAAATCCTCTTCCAACAACAAGGGCTAATAAGTATAATTGTTCATATTATTATGGCCAAAATAAGAAAAAATCTTTCAATATGTAAATATTGTGAACTTATAATTGAGTTCAGTTGGTTGATATTAATAAGTTTGAGTTTAAATTTTAATACTCATAGCCATTTTAAGTTAGATTTATGCAATTATTTTTTAGTAAATTTAAGATTCAAATTTCTATACTTTTAATCTTTTTCTTAATCTTTAAACTATGATTTCTTTAAATTTTTTTTTTGAACCCTTCAAGAAAACAAAGATGAGAAATATTTTCATTTTCCATGTAAGTTAATGACCAAAACTTGAAATAAAAAAATTAAAAAAAAAAAAAAACCTTGTCCAAGAATAAGGGTTTCAGCTTGACTACATGAATCCTTTTCCATGGTACTTGATTTATCTACTCCTTAATGTTACAATATTCTGTGTGATGTAATACATCAGAACTCCGCCATAATGATCTCTCGCATTAACTCTTTAGGTGCTGCAAAACAGAATAAAAAAATTGACCTCATTTAAACCATATTAAGAATTTTGAAAATATATGTTGCAACTAAAATTCTGAGCTGTAGGAGGCAGTAGTTTTGAGGAAGAATAGTTGAGATTATCACCACAAAACTTGAACTTGATCATGAGGATGGTACATGGTAAAATTACAAATCAGAATTTTTGGAAGAGGTTCAAAATAGGATATCTCCAGCAATTTTAACTCAATGTATATATATATTTTATAAAAAATTTAGGATAAGAAGAAGCATTCTCATTTTAGGACCATAGAAGATCACAAGCTTCAGCATCGACTTATATTAATTTACAAATCATCTATCAAGGGAAATGCTAGCATCGGGACTCAAACCTAAGTCTTATAAACAAAGTATTCGAATCTTATCAACTCAATCAAAATAGCTTTTTCAGATCATAAACTTGATCCATTCGTCCAACTAAATGAAATCAAAGATGGATTCGCTACTCACTGGAAGTTTTATTATTCTTTTTCAATAGTCTCGTGACTAAATCAAACAGCAAAAGATCAAAATGGTTGAACTATCAACTTACATTTGCAGTAAAGATCTAAGGATGGTTTAAAAGGTCTAAAGTTTCTAATTGATTTAATTAGAAAATAAGTGTCCAGAGTGGTTATGATGTAGTTTAAGGTCATGAAACAGATAGAGGGAAGGAAGGGATTCAAGAGATACCTTCTCGACCAGTGAAGAGATTGAACTGACCAATAGCTTGTCTGAGGAACATTTCAACTCCACTGACAATGATTGCTCCTGCTGCCTCTGCATCTTTTAATAGTCTTGTTTTCTTAGGTGTATAAACAGCATCAAAGACCAGCTCATAATCTCCCAAGGTTGCCTGGAATATGAAAGCAAATAACTTCAGTAATGAAACAAAATTGAACTTTATTCTTCAGAAAAGAAATACCACTTAGTGGTGGAAGGTGGAGACCTCAGCAACAGGAATGCGCTGATCAGTATTCGGATGCATTCCCAGGGGTGTTGCATTTGCAAGGATCGATCCTTTCTCTGGCTGGAAGTTAACTACTTCTTCATAAGGTCGAGCTTCACCCGAGACAGCACAAGCAAGGGACTTTGCTCTCCCTTTTTCCACAAGCAATGATTAATAGTAAGAAAGCGTTTTTGATTCTCTACTCATAATGTTTATTCCTAATGCTACAACAATGTACTAAAAAGAGTAGGCAGAAGTTATAGTTGACATCATATCAGCATAAAGGGAAAAACCATGGATTTGCCTTTTAAGAATTGTAGATCACATACCAAAATCAATGTCAAAAATGACTATTTGAGCTCCTCTGCTTTTAGCACCAAATGCCAATGCTCTTCCTGCACCTCCAGCACCAACTAGCGCAAAGAGTTTCCCCGATATTGGACTGCCTAAAGCTACTTCATTACCAGTGCATCTCTTTTCTATAGTAGTTTACTGTTTACAAGTACAAAAGTGTCAGGATATCAGCATCTAGAATGGACTAGTCATTGATCAATACTTTAAACTTCCATGAGGACATGATGAGCATTTTTTTCTCATCAATGGGAGGTACCTTTTAGAGCATCCTCGATCGCAGTTATTGCAGCTTCGCAGTCAGTATTATAACCTATCAGCTTTCCATCACAAGGCCTCCTTACAATAGTATTAACAGCACCGTATAGACTGACAGTGCATTGAAAAAAAAATCGATTGCATTCTCAAATATATAAATATAGGAAACTGCAAGCAGATGCTATTAATAGGAATTGAAGCACTAAGAATTCTGGTAAGAATTCTGGATATAGGGAAAATTCTAGAATCGCCTCTATATGAACCAGGTAAATATATCCATATAGAACATGTCAACATACAATTGTTAGAGTGTAATCTTCTGCTACTTTTGGTTTCCCATCACAAAATGTGCCATGTCTGATGATGCAATGCCAACTAGCTCAGATAGTAAAATATGAATTTTACAACCAGGATCAGATAAACATTCTGCCTAAACTTAAATACAATTTTTTTTCCTTTTTCTCTGGCAATGAACTGATCAAACCAGTCTTATATGCTTTGGTATGCTTCTCTCAATAAGTTGAACTTCTAAATAATTAGATTCAGAACTTGGTCTTAGACCTTAGTGTAGCCAGAAATCGGTGCTCTTGGTAAACTGTGCGTAAAGAAATGGAATAGGGCACAAAAACAAGGGACCTGAAAAAGTATATGGGAAATTAACAGATTCAAACATGTTTGTAAGAATGTTATATAGTCAACCTCAGCAAGTGGATGAACTTCATCACAGAACTCAACTACAGCTTCCTTGTACGGAACCCAACACTGCAATCCATTGGAATGAGGAAAAAGAAAAGTTACATTTCCGAGAATAGTGGAAAACAAACCCGGCTACATCATTGCAGGAGATGAAATAAGGGTGAGAAATAAAGCAATTTATCAAAGAAAGAAGGCATTTATATTTCAGTATGTTGCAACTATCCATGATCTTCCAGTTTCGAAAAATCAGTATTACTATATCAACTAAAGAACTAGTTGTAACATAAAATTTTCCTACATCCATACTTTTTGGTACTAAATCTTTCAAGGCCAGTTCTTGTCTTAGTTGTTACTGGCTAAAATGTGTTTGAATGCCTAAAAGGTCAAAATACAAGTGTTGCTCATAAGAACAGATGCAGCTTACAGTGGCTATATACTTAAGTGAAAAGACTGTAACCTGACATAATCTACCAAAGACAAAATTGAAGGATGACGTACCTAAAACCAGGAAAGTCGTGACTGGAATAGATGCTAAAGAACTTCTTGAGATTATCTACAAACATTGGGACATAAACTCCATTGAAGTTCTCGTGTCTGAGGGTAGGATTATGCAATAGAGGGCCTTTGCTGTGGCCAACAGGTTTTGAAACAAGTCCAAAAACTTTAGTTTCTGAATTTAGATAGCCAAGTTTATAAGTGTGGATAACACTATATAAAGAAGGCATGCCAGGAATTGAATTTCCTTCAATAGATCCATAGGCTAGAAAGCCACCAAATTTTGGGCACAATAGCTGGCTTATGAGACCTCTTTCCCCTGCAGAGTATGCTATTATTGGCACCTGCAGATAAATAATATTTGATATGTTATTCCACTGCAACAATTTATACAACTAATCTGCACATATTCAAAGCAAAGTCAATAGAGTAGAGTTTCATACTTTGCAATGAGAAGCAAATGAAACATTCTTGCTATCTCAGTAATATCCGTTACATTTGCAGCCATCTTGATGATATCTGCTCCGTAGCTCGAATGCTAGCAGCAAGATTGTTTAACTCTTCGTCTGAAGAGGTCATTCCATTTATGTGACATGACACAATAAATTTAGTAGCACTACCATCCTTCATTTTCTGTTCCCAAATAAGATCAGAAGCAACCTGGACAATCACATGATCTGCGAGTCAGATAAAACTAAGAGAATTTCGAAGGAACAAATAGGTCATTCAAAGGGAAAACTGCCTATGGCACTTTTTATTTTAACTGCTATCAGATAAATGAGAAACGAAAATGGGTGAAAATATTATTTAAGTTTGTAAAATAGTCAATAATAGAAATGAATGCACCAAAATGCAATAATCAAGAGTATAATAGTTTGCAAAC